AAATAAAGTATAGTTTTAATATTAGATTTTTTGTATAATGGAATAAAAATAATTCGAAAACCATATAAGTAATAAACAAAAAACTTTCTAAAACATATAACCTCATATGTTATTAAAATCATTATTATGAATGATCTATGGTATTTTTCAATTTAAATAAAAAGTTTCACCAACTTATAAAAGTATCACAAATACAAATGGATATTTAAGGTGGACAGATACGTGTGGATATATAAAGCAAGCACTCGGCGTACCTCGCTCTCTTGCTGCGAACCTCTTGCCATGACCCGACCGCAGTGAACGGACCACAGTGAACCCTGTACCAGAAGAAGCCATGGGACTGGTCTCCGCCTACCCTCAGCAGGACCGCCCTGGAACGCTCGAGCCTTCTTCGGTTTTCGTGCGCGTATTCAACAAGCTTATAGTCTCATTCTGTATCAATCGGTCATCTGTTATTAGACCAGTGCATTTTCAAATCCATCTAGTATCAGTTTAACTTGCGATTACGAATTTTAGCCGCATGCTTGGGAATCAGCCTAGTGCGTGAATTATCCCACCAGAAGTGCAAATAAAACATACACTCTGTAGTGCAAGAAAAGAAAACAAGAACAAGAAAACAGTGAAGCCATGAAAATTGTAATCAATAAAGTGCGTCAGCCTAGCAGTCATTCAGCATTCCCTGTCGGTAGTTCATAAGGTATATTAATTTTATTATTATTACAAGCTAGTCATCCACGCTCGAACCACGTTTCATATAAACCTCTACCAAAAGTGACGATACGCTCTCTCAATGGTGATGCAATACGGTCTCTTAGTGCCTTCTTGCCGGAGTCACTTTTCCAGTCCGTTTCAATTACAATTGTCAAGGGAAGATAGCAGTTTATCAAATAGTCGACTATAATTACATTGTATCAAGTCCTTCCGCACTTGAAAGCTTATCATTATTGTTCTTGCGTGTGACTAGCTCTCTAATACTCCCAACTCTCTTTGGAGTATGGACGATTTGCGTGACAACTACCACAGAGACTTTAGTATCCTCTTCCGTTTTGAGTATAGTTTACTCTTCCTGCTAAGCACTACTGATTACAATTACCATCTTCCCATGCTTATCTCATGAACATGGTCGATTACTTATGCTGATCTTTACAACATCAGCACACACCTAATATTCAACATCTTTTGCTAACGTGGATAACAGCAACGACATCGCCACCACTACAACAAAGTGAACCATGCATATTGTTTTTGTTAATGTAATTGTTAATAAATTATATATTACAGAAGTTCCTTCCACAGAACCCTTCCACTTGACTTTCACTCAAGCATCTGCTAAAACGGGCGGCAAATTATTAAAGTTCTCGAAACACTGGAAGTTCGAGCCTGTAAATAACATCACTTTCGAACAATTAATGTTAAATGATTTTATTATTTAATTAAAACATATTCTTTAATAAGAAGTTAAGTTTCCTTTGTTTTATTCGTTTAATTAAAAATATATTATTTATTAATATTGTATTATTTATTTCTTCTAGGTTTCATAATGCTAGTCATATGTGAGATTATTAATAAACATAAATTATAGAATGCGACCTACGTTTCATTGTCAATATTGATAGCATCTTAAACTCTTAAATACATATTTAAATTATGCTTACTTAGATTATATTTATTTGAATATTTAAATTTACGAATAAATGGTTCTATTATATTTTATTTTAATTTAGTTTTTCAATGAAACAAATTAAGATATTATTTTATAGTTTGAATTTAATAAATCCATCGAAAATAAGAAAGTTTAATAAATGATTAAATTTAAGTTATTTTATTGATAAAATTTGAAAACATATTATTATTAATTATCGTCGTGTCTATAAAAATAATCGTTGTTAATGTAATAAAACTGAAGATTGCCAAAAATAGATATAGTAAATGATTCCGATGGTACAAAGGAATAATTATATTAGTAATACAACTGTGTCGGATATTCCAAATGACTCCAAACTATTTCGACTGTTCTTTTTATCCTATTATCTAGATTTTATTGATTGTCCCTTTAGATTATGTAGATAAATAAAAACATTTCCGTATTTTTTACTTTTTAAACATTTTAGGTTTTCATTAGATATTTAAACAGAAAGTTTATAAACGGATAAATACTTTAATCTGACCATTTTTAAGTGGTATGAAAATGGAAATAGATGTGACTAAAGTAATAGAAAAGTTTATGGTTCGTTTATAGTTTGATCTTAAGTGCTGAAATATTAACGAAACACAAAATATACTTAAAATATTTGTGATTCCGTTTTATAGCTTGTTTGAAAATGTTCTATTTTGATTTACCGTACTTAAAATATAGCAAAATCAGCTATTAGTTATAATTTAGTTCTCATTAATTATTAATATGGCAATAATATTTATATATAAATTACAAACATAGATAAGCAGTAATGAATTTATGGAAGAGTACTCGGAGATTATTCTTATAATAAATTTAATTAATCTGATTAATTCATTACACGAACAAGATTCGAAAATTTATACAGAATACATCAAATGACATTAATTAAATATGAACAAACTATTAATATGGACTAATAGTTCTTAAACAAAAATTACATATTTTTTAATTGCGATCTCTATAATATTCAATTTAAGTCTAACATAAATTCAATATTTTCGGAATATTTTGATACATTTATTATTTTTTATAAAAACTCTAAATATTAGAAACAATACTTTTCTATCTTATATATTATATAGTTAAAGAATTATTTGGAAAATAACAATTATTTTTAAAAATAAATAACAAAACAGTAGCGAAAATAATATGTAACCAATGTAATATAAATCAATGTAATATAAAAACAAATTTATTTATAAATTTGTTAATATTCGTTTTCATTAATATTAATAAACTATGTATTTCTATATAATTACAAGTTAATTATGATAAGGTTAAATGATTTATAAATAATTTATTCTAAATATATAAATATGAGGTTAGTGCAGTTTATTATTCCTTTAACAAGAACAAAATACTGAAATTCAATAAGTTAAACAATAAAACTATTAGTCAATATATACAATATATACTAAGATCTGATCGTTTATACATTCTGCAATTTCAAATAATATTGTTATTAATGGTAAAAGAATTTATATTCATTTGAGAAACGTTATGTTATAATGATTATATGAAAATTTCCATTCCTCATTCTAACTATTCAAGCGTTGTTCCTTTAATATCTGATTCATATTAAATCATGCTACATACGCAATGTAATAATAATTGTAGTATAATTTTTAACTTCAATTATATTTTTATTATAATAACATATATATGCATATAATATAGCATTAAATGTTAAAAGTAGAGTATTAAATAAAACATTATTTACCATAAAATTTTGAATCTTAAGAAAATATAGTTGAATTATTCGACAAAAATATAGTTCATGAAGTATAAGTTTGTTAATTATTTACTTAAATTTTATATATTCATTTACTTTGTCTAATTTTTATTTGTAAAATATTAATTTATTCCATATTTAATAGTATAATTTATCAAAGTCACTATAATAATACTGTAGTTTTAATTTCTTATTGCTAGCACTAATTAAATTGGAAAATTGGAAATTTCAATGCCTGCTAAAAATACTGACTGCGTGTATCATTTTAAAATTTAATATAACTAATGTTTTATTAGATAAAGCGACCTTTCGTTTTAATAATTACGCTTCATAAATGGCTCATCCGCATATAATTGTAGACATTCGCATTTAAATGATATAAGCAAGTGTTGCCATCGTGTTTAAAATTAGCGGTTATAATTTAACCTGCGTTTATGCTGAGGTTGTATATTCTATATGATTTTTAATTTATGAAAAGCTGCTACGTGCATTCTATTTTCTGTATTTTATAATCTGCTTAAAGATTTATCCAATTGGACACTCGTTAAAAAATAGTTTTATAAACATGATATCAATAATTTGTATGTTTAATACCTTAATCGTTTGTGAAAATTAATGCTTTTAAATAAGGTATAACGTATATAAAATAATTGGGTTAATTGTTAAAACTTTTTAAAATCTTCATTTTATTTACTTGAATTTAACTAACCATATGTATAAGACCTTAAAATGAGAAATTGATGTGTTTGGTATCATTTTATTGTCACTATTGCTGAGCTTATTATAAATATTCTACATATATGTATAAATAAATATATTTATTAAAGCATTTTATACAAATACCTAATTTATTTACATCTTATGCCATTCACAAATTAAACTATTCAATTAAAAAAAAAAATTATCAGAAACAAAATAACTAATAAATTGTTTATAGTGTAAATAAGCTTTGATTAAATAATTCTATAGTCCTATAATAATACCAATTCAGCAAATAAACGTATTTATTTGATGAAATGAATTTATAGTAATTATTAAAATTATTTATTTACTTAGTATTGAAATATTAAATTATTTTAATTCTTCAAACATAATGACTCTTTAATGATAGAAGATAAATATTTTAAATTCCGCAAAAATGACTATCTTCGTATAAATTAAGTGTTTCCCTTTAAGTTAGAAAAATGACTGTGGTTGGTTCACTATAAACAAAGTATATTTCAAATCTTCTTAATTAAGAAATTAATATCTTTATAAACCATACTTAGATTGTGAACTAAATATTTAATAGCCAGATAAAAAAAATATAGAAAAAATATAATAAAATATATATGTTATTATAATAAAAATATAATTGAAGTTAAAAATTATACTACAATTATTATTACATTGCGTATGTAGCATGATTTAATATGAATCAGATATTAAAGGAACAACGCTTGAATAGTTAGAATGAGGAATGGAAATTTTCATATAATCATTATAACATAACGTTTCTCAAAAATATATTTTCTCACTAGCTTTTCTTTATATATTAGCATCATGAAATTCATTTATAAATTATATTAAAAGTGTTATAATTTATTTTAGGAATGGACAGATTACAATCTTCAGTGGAACGTATCTGAGTTTGGTGGCGTAAAGGACCTTCGAATAACACCAAGTAAACTCTGGAAACCAGATATTCTCATGTATAACAGGTAAATATGTATTGTTCGTCTGATTTTATTGTAGAATAGAGAAATCCGTCAAAACTTGCTGCGACAACTACAAAATTAAAAGCTAAAAATCTTAAACTTCATTAATAAATGTAAAATATTTAAATTAGTTAATGCGAATTAATGTTATATTTTTAACATTATGCATTCTTACATATTAGTTATCGAGTAAGAAAAACTATGGTGTACTTTGGAATGATAAAGATATTATGCAAACCTATTAATAAATTATATTAATTTATGAATTTGACAACTAAAGAACAGATATTTTAACAGAAGGCGAAGAATTTTTTACATAAATTTGTTATTTATAGTGTTTAGAATGTTTCAGAATGCCTTCAACATGTCTTACTCATAATGCTGAGAAAAATGAAGAACCATTTATAAATATTGTTAACAACCAGAATTTCATTTGATTTTTAACCTAGTTGATTCCTCTCTTTAATTTAAGTATTCTTGATTACCTTACCTCGCATTGACACATTTTTGTACTTTTTTAATTCTAAGTAAAATGACTTTTACTTTATTGTAAAAAATCTATTTGTTTTAATTTATGATTTTTTAATAGTAAAAAAGTAATTTTTTTTTTTTAAGTAAAGAGTAATAATTATTTTAATAGTGTTGCTTTGCATTTGTTCAAAATATCTCAAAATTCTTCTATATAAATATTATGTTAATATGCATGCATTTATTTGATTTTATGCTAGTAACTAACTTTTAACTACGTAAAAAAATATTATTTTTTATACATATAAATATATTTGATATATAAGTATACTTACGTACAAACACGCACGCACGCATGCATATATATATCTGCGCGTGTGTGCGCGCGCGGAGGGATGTATGCATGTATTATATATATGTATATAAAAATACTTTCTTTTCATTATGTAAATAGGTAAATATTCTGTATGTAGTGGTAACGTTTCTGAAAGTAGAATTATCTTTTTATTTAGTTATGAATTGCTTGATTCTCAAACTAAATTATTTCATGGTTTAAAATCATAGACACATTTTCCACTGCTAATTAGTAGAGTTTATTAATCGAGCGATTCGTTTCGAATTTCAAAGTAAAATATATACAAATGCAGAGAAAATGGAACTACAGATGATTAGTTTCTCATAAAATCTCACAAAATGTTTAGATACAAATATTATTTAATTATTTATTCATATTTCCATTAACTTCAAACATATTAATATCCATAAAATCATACTTCAATCATTCTTAGAAATGAAACGAAAAGTATTTCTAAACCTCTTGAAAAAAATTTCAAATAACAAGTTCAAATTATGCAAAAATTAAATTAACAAAAAATGTAATAATAGATATAAAACTAAGTAAGCCACTTCTCGTTTCCTCCACTATTAGTTTTCACCTAATTATTTTCAGCCACATTACCTCTGTATACAGTAACTTAAGCTTAGATTACTGCATTATATATATATATATATATATATATAAATATATATATATATAAATTTATATAGGTTATCAGCGTGATAAGTGTTGAAGATGAGCTATGACTTTAAGACATTGCTCAGACCTCGCAACTCCCTACGCTAATTCTCATAATTATACAATAATGCTCGCTCAAAGATTCACCCGAGCTTTGTTTATCAAGATCGTACGTAAATAAAGTTCTATAAGTACTTATGAAAGCCCAGTTAGTCTCAACAAATCGTTATCATGCGCCACTCTAATGTTATAATAATATTCAAGAATAATGAAGAGGTATTGACTTAATGTTTATTTCTTTAATTTTGTAATGCTGCTTTTTATAATTTAACCCTTTTAAATCATCGACATAATACATATTGATTCTACTAATGAGATCCAAATATTGTATGAATATTAATGTTTCTTTGATGGTGTAGTAATTAATCTTACTGAAATAGGACATTTAAATTACAATCAGAAATAAACTACTAAAATATTATAATGAGATTTAATTTTATTCTCCCGGTTAAATTTAGTAATTTTTAATTAATTTTACTATCAAAAAATGTTTACAAATATAAAAGAAATTTTTTTTCACCCTTGAAAATCAAACAATAAATTCAAAGATTTACATAAAAATATTGAATTATTAACAGTTTTTTAATATATTTTAATACTTTATATTTAATATTTATTTTGCCAACAAATTTATAAATACCATTATTTTGTTAAATTAAACAGTAAAATTTTAAATTGTATTCCAAACGTTAAATTCTAGTCTCTAAACCTTCAAATCTTAAAAGAAAATTTAAATTAACTGTTAAATATATATATTATTGTTGTAAATTATTCGATCAATATTTTATTGAAGCATATAAATTGTCAATAAGACTTACATTAAATATAATTCACATGTAAAGATAAAACGATTTTGTTCGTGACAAAAACGTAGCTCCATTACATACCGTAATTCTATTCGATTAAATGCATAATTATATTAAAAAATTTCTCCCTCGCTGATACCTTTCAATGGTCAAGTAAAGGGAAAACTAAAAGGGTCGAGTACATCTGTACTATAGCTCTGAACGGTAAATATGCGGTCCACCGGTCATTTTAGTGCAGTACAGCAGTGATTTGCAAGTGAGATAATAAAGGACGGAGAGAAGAATAGCATCAGCTTTTCTTGCGATTAAGGAAAATAAGCGAAGAATCGGAGAACATTATATCCATGCTTGGTGATCGCTACAGAGTTATAGAAAGTCGATGAACTCACATCGACAAATGTTAGCTGTTTCGCTTATATTGCTTTTATGAGAAAGTAGATAAAATACTTGTTACACGATTACGTCATCAGTACTAAAGCTGGAAAAGTAGGTAATTTCTGTTTTATACAAATTATATACATATATAACAATAAATTATTATTAGATATGTAAGTATACATTAACAATGAAATTACAATTCTTTGATAAAAGATAATAATTTCTGCGATAAATATCGGTACAACTATTAGTATTAATTCATAGTTCGATTACATGTTTGAAAAATAATGACTATAATTCGTTACATTCGAAAAATTATAAAAATGAGTACTTTACAAATAGAAACAGAATTACGAACAAATCAGTGCAGATACACATTTTTTAATTGAATTTTGTTTGTATTGAACCTATCAAATATTGATATTTAAATATAATTTAACAATCACAAAATGTTAAAAAAAAAATAAATACGTAACTGCTTAATAACGGAATATATATAAAAACTATTAATCATATAAAAATTTTTATAATAATGAAGCAGCTAATTTACTTATGAATAAAAATATAGCATAGATTAAATAGATAAAAAGATTCGTAAATTTAAATGCATAACAAAAATATACAGAATTTTACATAATTGGTTTTACAGTCAAATTCACAAATTTACGGAGTTAAAATTTTAAAAAACTTAATGTCATAATATTAAATTTTTTCTTATATTAATTTTTATGAGATTTTATAATATTATAATAAATAATTAAACAAAATATTATATAAAAAATATTAGGAAAAATATTTTAAGCTTATGCGTATTCATATATGTAAAGATATTATTTATTATCTTATATTCTTTTCATAATACATGATATTTATTGAATATTTTATTTTACATTTATTCTCTTCAGCAAATTATTATACACAATCAAGGACTTTATCAATATTCAGGCAATAGTGAAGTTCCATTGATTTTTAATGATGTTATATCAATTAAATCAAGTTAATAATGTTTTAGTAATCTATTTTAATTGTTTCATCATTATTAGATTTTCTCGGAAGTGTATCCAAACTTATTCAGGAGCATTTAATATTTATCTTTTTAATAATTATTTTTAAATTGTCATGCATCTTTCATTAATAAATTTTTTATTGTTTTAATAACTTTGTAATAACACTTTTAAGCAAATTTAGTAGTAACTTACTTACGAGCGTCAGTGTAAGTATGTCAATGCATAAGCGAGTATGCACCTTATATTTTATATAATAATAGAATGAACCATTAAAAATAATACAGATGGTACTTAGATTGCTTCTATAACAATTAAATCGTATTGCCAAAAATGATTGAATGAAGTTAAAAATTTTCAAATCTGAATTTTGTTTTGTAAATAATGCAATGAAAAATATGTAAACTTTTCCAATTTTTTCTTTCTAAAAAATAAGTGGAAAAATAACAGTTGAAAATAAGTTTTGAATAAAATACAGTGTAATATTTTTAAAATAATGTTAAGTCATTTTCTATATTTAGAAAAATGTTGTTTAACAAGCTCTAAATTGAAAGTTGAGTAGATAATTATATATATAATAGATAATTTATTGAAGCGTATAAATAGAATTTGTAAAAATTAATGAAAATTTTAATAAACTATTATTTTTTTCAAATATTATCTGACAAAAAACGTTATTATTTATAAATAAAGAAAAATATTATTATTCATTAAAATGTAAACTATTAAAAATGGATAAATGGATTTCACAAAGTTAGTGTGATCTCACAAATTCTAAAATAACTTTAAATTTTATCGTATTAATTTTTAGAAAGTACCAAAACTAATTCGCTCATGGACAACTTATCCTTGTCACTAGAGCTGATTGTGGTGGCGCATTGAAATTTACGACTTGCATGAGTCGAGGTTGAATTTACAAAATAGCAAGATAGTATACAGAGCGAGCGTTGTTTAATTATAAGAACAATCAATTAAATAATATAAAACAAACCTAGTGACGTCAGGCCACCCCGTTACTGCGTACCACCGCAGTGCCAAGCTCGGTACCCGCTCTCCACCCCATTTATAATAAAACAAATTAATAATATTTTTTTTATTTTTGTCCACTAACATACTCTAATTATTTCTTTCAAATCGTTTCTGTACTACGTCTTACCTACTTTCTGCCGGTATTAAGATGATTATGCCACATCTTCTTGGAATTATCCTTCCACTTACAAAAGGCACAAAAAGTATTTGCAATAAGAATGAGAGTAATTTGCCCGTAGTTGA